GGGTAGCACCAGGGTTTTTTTAAACGTTGGTCCACTCAGTGAAAGAGAAACAGACCCTGTGTTTTTTCTCATGCTCTTTTGCTGCGTGCATAGAATCGACCTTCATTAACGTATGGATGGATGGATTCTGAGAAATTCTGTGTAACGACTTTGAATCTCTTTGATTGTGCCATGTACAGCAGCATGGCTAAAACATTCACATTTCTATTTTGGCCTGAGCATGTCTCTGAGAACAAGCCTACTTCAGAAATCTCATGGGAAGGGAGCTTAGCCACCGATATAGGCATGTAGCTATTTCGCAACTTTCATGGCGTCCATCGAACTTCTGTCCAAACAAAAGCAATAACCTTTATTTGGGGGTTTATTTTCCAGGATTGTCTGGTTATATACACACAGCTTTCCCAAAAAGTATGTCAGAGAAACATCACAGCTGGGCAATTGCGAAATACTTTGAAGATCAAAAGTTGCAGTGATGAAATGTTCATCTGTTTGGGCCCGATCATTATCTTGTCGCTTAGTTAACTGTGTTTCCTTGAGACGCTTCATGTGCTCGTCTTGCAATGGTTGAGGCAACTGCTTTTCATCACCTGTCAAATTTTTAAATTTTGAACATGTTGCACACTGGTCTTTTTGGGCACCAAAAAAATGATACGTTGAATTTTTCCCAAAACACAGTTCTACGGACTTTCTTGGTAACTGGTTCTATGGCTAGCACTTGATCTGCAATACACTTCTTATGCAATTGGTACATTTTAGAAATGTTTACTGTTTAGTCCAAACATTTTCTCTGGGTGTGTTTTCGCGTATAAATGTGACTCCATAACTGGGAAGAGCTTGATATGGTTTCTGACTACATCCAACACCTCTTTGTTTGTTTTATTCCATGGAGTATGCTTCCCTCTTTTGTCTTCACCAGGAAAAACTCCCTCTTCACTTTTGTTTTTTACAGCATTATCAATAGGTCTATCAATTATAATTTTCAAAGTCTTGCAAAGAAAGTTTTTGCACACGCATACTTCAAAATGACCCAGTCTAAAAAGTACTGGGGTGAGTGAGATCTTGGTATTGAGTTTTTGCCTGGCTGTGGTCATTTATGTTGGAGCTCATGTTACAAAGGATCTACCCAAACGCACAAGTAAAGACTTAGTGTCCAAATATGATGAGGGCAGCGCAGTAGATCAAAATGCCTCTTGCTCAATAGACTATCCAGCACAAAAAAAGTAAATAACAGGGTTAATCACTGTTAGATAGCCCGATGTTGTCTGCCAAAAAATGAATAACGTGAACTATTCAGTTTTGCCACATATAAGCCTTTCACGAGCAAGGAAATAATTACTCCAGCAAAACTGAATATTAAAAAAGGTCAGTTTTGGCTGTAAACCTACGGTGTTTTCTGGACTTAATCATTTGACAAGGTCTCTGTTTCTTGTATTTATAAAGGAGGCTGGACTTAATCGTTTCTTGAGGTTGTAGAGCGTCAAAAGGTTGTTGAGAAAAAGTAAAAAAGTGAAAATCGACCATCGTGCACTTATTCACTAACGGCAAGCAGCCATCGCCTGCATAATGTATATCACTTTCTTGCCTTTTTCATCATTTAGAATTAGAAGTTCTACAAAATACTTCTCGAGCACATTCAACCAATGTTATAGATTAACACATTTCAATTTTAAAAATTATGATTGAATGTTGGGTTAAGTAGAAATCTACATCTGGACAGCTGGCCAGGGGAACTGTACTTAATGCATTAAAATGTAAGACCAACCTTTTTGTTTAATTGAATCACGTCCCTTTGAACGTGGTTAAAGTTTGTAGTGTTTAAAAGAACATTCTAGACCTATCGGAACAAGCAAATTATGTTTCCAATAAGAGTCAACAAATTGAGGTATTCGTGGGCCATAATCCGTCTCCATAGTTCCAGAACTTATGAGAGGGTGATTGGCGGGTGCTGGTCTTGTGTGGTTTGCTCCTTCTTTCCTATCAAACATCTATCGCCCTGATCTCTCCTCTTTCTTTTTTGTGTTTGTTACTCTCTTGTAACACCTCTAATCTTCGGCACTTATTTGACCTTATTGTTTTGCAAGTGCCTTAAAACCCTTACTAAAACAATAAAACAAGAAGTTATGATACATAAATTGCACTTACAAGTGTACCAGAGGTATACAGACATAAATGTGCCACGACACGGTAGAATAGGCGATCGTCATTGTTTGGACATGACAAGTTCATGGTTTCGCATCATTAAACCTTGTTCATATTTTGTATTTGCTTTAGATAAAATAAATTCCTATCTATCTTTAAAAGAAGTCACGATATTTGCTGCTGAAGGAAGTGGGGGTCGGCTGGTGTTAGAAGTGTTAAAGACTATAATATAGGTAGCCCATGCAGCTGAGAATTAAGATTATGGGGGAGGTGAGTGCGAGGGAGAGAGAGAGAGAGAGAGAGAGAGAGAGAGAGAGAGAGAGAGAGAGAGAG